AATACGTGGGACTTAGCGAGTTCTAAATAAAGGGTACTATGCTCTTGTAAAGAACACAGCACTAGGGAAATGTCCCTCCTTCTTTTCCTTCCTTGATTTTTAATTTGCAATGACAAACTCTCTGGAGCACCTGCAAGGTACCAGGGTCTGTACTGGACGCTGGGCACTTTGAAATGAACCAAACAGACACACGGTTGGGAACCACAGACACTGGATGAGTAATTAAAGAAGTGGTGAATTCTCAGACAGGAAGGGTTGTGATGGATGTATGGAAGATTTGTCTGTTCCCGGAGTGGAATCGAGTGGTTGGACGGAGCTACCCTGGGATGGTGCCATTAAACTGATCCCGAGAGGGTGACTCCAGAACCCAGAGGACTCCCAGTACAGCCCTGGCCAAGGTTTCTGGAGACTCCATAGGAGCCTTCTGCCTTTGGGCTAGCCACTTTTACATATGCTCTTCATCTCCGGGATGAGGTTTAGTGGATGGATGGGAAGAAAAAGAGACTGTAAAAATAAGGAGGCAGCAAGCTTCTGGGGGGGATCTGAAGCCCTTTTCAAAGCAAGCCTAGCTGCAGGAGGATGAGGGCACATTAGAAGGGCCAGCTGACCAGGGTTTGTGGGACCGCTGATTACCATGAGGCCCAGGGCAAGCCCCTTCCAGGTCTGGGGTCGGACCTGTCCATCTGTGCATGCCCTACACACCTCACCGTCTCTGCACACTTTCGGAGTCTGCTTCCATGCGCTCATAGCCTTGAGGCAGGCTTATGCTAATTAGATGTAGATTGTGTGCAGGATGGGCCCGTAGCCTTCATCTTGTCACATGGGGACGTGTCCCCTGGGATCAACTTCCAGCACCACACAGATGGTGCAGACTGCAGACCGCCTCTCTCTCTTTCCTTCACTATATCTCTATCTTCCTGGACAACTGTGGGGAGGGACAAGGTGAGGGTGGGGAGGGTGCCCTCCAGAGAACACCGTTCTGTGTCCTCTGTGGAGATACACAGAGCAGAGGGGACCTAAGCACGCAAGCATTAGGAATGACACAAGGCATCCAACATTCAGATCAACACCTATGTTGAGCTCCTTCTGCTTACAAGGAACCATTCTAGCAGTGAACAAAAGAGCTCTTAAATTGTAGGGGGGGATCATTTAATCCTAACTTCTCCTTTTTCAGAGAAGGGAAAGGAGGCCTGGCAGCAAGAAGGGATGGTGTGCTTGTCCCAGGCAAGGTCATCCGGATCTCTGGTTCCAGATCCCTGGTTCTGGGCTGGTGGTACAACCCCCTGAGAGTGACTACTGTTGATTAGGTTATCTTCATACAGAAATAAGTCCCCGTCATCATCATCCACCCTGGTCCCACTCCTGCTGAAGTTCAGTGATTTCCTTTCGCCACTTACACTCCAGATAAATATTTCCTTCTGAACTTCTGAAGCCACTGCTTCAAGGTTCTCATTTCCCTTAACGTGTTTCCTCTTGGTTCCACCGAAAAGCCTCTCTCTGCCCTTCCTCTCTGCCTCCCGGGGCTAAGCTGCCTCTTAGTCCTCGGCTCTGTGTAGCAGAGTCTGGCCTTTCTCACTGCGTCTCTCTTCTCTCTCAACTGCAAACAGAGGGGGCTTGAGCCCGGGTCCCAAGCCCCAGGAAGGTTCTGAACTGAGGGCACCCTACAAATGTGTAAACATTTTACCTTGCTCACCCCAGCTAGCCGCCTTCCAAAGGCAACAGGAAAACCAGGGATGGGAGAGCCCCTGGCAAAATAAAAAAACCTGCAGGGAGAGAGCGAGAAAGAGAGAGAATGAAAGAGGGGAAAGGGATCCCGTTTCAGACATTAATTTTCTCATTAGAAGAATTTTCTCTTTGAGGGGGAGGGTTCGCCAGGGGAGCAAGAGAAGGTGAGCTCAGAGGTGGGATGGGGAGCCCAAGCGTGGCAGCTCTAGGAACTTTGCTCTCACCGATCCCCATAGCAAGTGGCAACACAGAGAGCTGGGGCAGCCCGTTCCAAATCTGGAGTCAGAGCTTCCGCTTTGTAAGGGTCCATGGGGAGGTAGCTTTTCACAGGCAGTGTCCTGACAGCAGCTAGGCAGATGGGATTTGTGATTTCTAAGTAGGCTTTGCCAGTGGCTTTGGGGAGGACTTGTGCTTTTTTTGAGCCTTCATCCTCCCAGCTCTTGCTACATCAGTCAAGATGCCTTCAGGTACCTTCTCCCTTTGGCCTTTCTGTATTGTGTTTCTCGTCATGTCCTCCTTGTCATCATTGACATCACTCCCAGACTTTCCAGCATCTTAAAAATGAGCTCCCACTTGGACGGCTACTGTATGCCAAGGATGGCGTATCCGCTGTATCTTTTAAGTATGACAGCACACTTAAAGAGAGATCTAGTCAAGAGGGAGAAGAGCTGCAGAAGTGAAGTGATTTTCCCCAGATGTACAGCTAGTAATTCTTTTATCAGAATTACCCCAAGTCCAAAGATCCTGCTCGCTCTGTGGTACCGAGAAAACACCCTCTCTTCTGACTCTCCCTGTCCTTTAGCCATGAAGACCTGAGTTAAGTTGCTTCTGTTTGTCCTTTTTCCTTCTCTGGCTGTATTTGGAATCCTTCCTGTGCTCCTTCATGAGACACTTGCTGAGCGCCCGCTGTAGACAAGGAATGGTATAAGGTCCTAGGCAGGATACAGATGGCCCAGCCAGAGTCCTCACTTTCAAGAAGCCTCCAGTCTAGCAGGACTCCAAAACCAGAGAACAAGTGTCTGGTTGCCTTAAAGTAAAATGAGTGCAGAGGAGAGATGAGCATTTCTCACAGGGCTATCACGGAGAACTTCTTGGAAGAGGTGGTTTCTGTTTTAGCCATGGGGAAACCTGGAGACACAGAAAAGCAGACCTGGACCAGGCATGTGAGGGGGACCTCATTCAGTCCCCTCCTTCACCAGATAGAGAACCAAGACCCAGAGGAGGTACTCAGTGCTTCACCAAGGTTGCCCAGCCTGTGAGAGCAGGTTGAATTTGTGAGAAGACTCCAGCCATTGCCTGAGGGACTGTTGGGCAGGGAGTTGGAGGAGAGGTATAGGCTGACTTAGATGCCAAGCTGATGCCCTCTGCATCAGCTGCTAACAGAGAGATTTACACAAGTTCAACGCCCCAGTACCCACAAAGGAGTAGAGACCACGTGGGCCTCCTCTGTTGATTTTGCTGGAAGCTCTCCATGCTTCTTTGGTGAATGCTAATGGCCGATGCACGCTCAAAGTTATGGTGACCACAACAGGTCTCCAGCTCAGAGTAAGGACTGTCCTCCTAAATGAGCATCTTGTATTCATTCTCATCTCCCTCTCTTTATCCTCCCACCTGGCCTTGTACATCATCCCACACTTAAAATACACTCTTAATTAGAAAGTCCTCTTCCCCATCCAACAGCCTGTCTGTGCCAAGGACACTGGGTATCTTCCAGAAAAGCTGAGGAATGGGGGGTTGGTGATTATAAAGATAATTTGATCCAGAGAGAATCTGCTAAGTGACTTCCTGGGGTTCCCAGAGTAAGTCTAGAGACATCAGCCTTGCGACCTTCCCAGATACTCAGCTTGTGGCACCCCCAGGCAGATGGTGTGTTCTGGATCCCTGGTGGCTTTGATGAGGAAGAAGGAAGCCCCCGCAGAGTTAGTGCACAGAGTAGTGAATGCCAGGGTCTGATGGATCGAGGAGCCACTGACCAACTATTTGACCTTTAACCCATCCGTCTCTTCCTTCCTTTAGAATCCATGCCTGCCTCTGTTCACTTAACATCACCACCTTAAGAGTGTTACATGGATTAAATGAACTCACGCATAGACCTTAGTACAATACAGAGGCTTGGACAATTTAAGTAATGAAGGAGTCCCCAGCACCTTTTATGTTAAGAGGATGCTTTTCATTTCATTCTTTTGCAAATATTTGCATTAGTGTCAGAGAAAAGCAAGCTGAATTGGGTCTCAGGACATTTGTTAATGATACTGTGTAACCTGACAAATGCCTTTCATTTTCTGGGTCTGAAATCCCTCACCTGTCAAGAGAAAAAGTTGGAAGTGGTGATCTTTAAAAACCTTTCCAGCTCGGATATTAAGCATGTCTGCCTTTCTTTGGGGCTGAATTTCAGGGCTAACCAGGACTGACTCCTGTTAGAAGGTGGAAGCATTAGCTTTGCGGCCCTTGACCCTCGCTTCTCTGGGCCAACTTTGCTGACAATTCACTATCACTGGCCATGTGATAACTGCCAATGGTGATGTGTGCTCAAAGTTTTGGTGTCTGTAGTAGGGGCCGTCCTTCTCAGTGAGCATCTTCTATTCATCATTACCCCCACACCCCAATTCTCCTCTTGCCTCCTATGTCATCCCACACTTAAAATACCCTCTTGTTTTTTTTTTTTAATTTTTTTTGAGATTTATTTATTTATTAGAGCATATGCATGAGTTGAGGGAAGGGCAGAGACAGAGTCCCAAGCAGACTCCCCGCTGAGCGTGAAGCCTGACATGGGGCTCAGTCTTACCACCCATGAGATCAAGACTTGAACTGAAATCATGAGTCGGACGCTTAACCGACTGAGCCACCCATGTGCCCCTAAAATACCTTCTTAATTAGAAAGTCCCCTTCCCCATCCAACGGTCTTACAAAATCAAAGGTGTTCAGATTTCCATTATTATTATTGTTGGTATTTTCTTTAGCTCAAATACCCATTCTACAAATGCAAATCTTTCTTGTATGTTCCATGTTCAGAACCAATAAAAGTGAAGCAGCTTGGGCTCACATAGTGGTGAGAGGCCCCCAAAGCCAGCTCGCCCATCCTCTCTGTTCCTCTAGCCCTCACCTTGCCCTAAGGCTGGTCCCAGAGGCATCATTAGGAATTGGCAGATCCTGCAGAGCATGGTTCGAGAACTGCTGGTCTAGGACATCCTGATATAAGTTTTATCAGAGAGAAGTAACTTTGTGCCCTTCTTCCATCCTTTATTGACGCATCTTTCTCTCTTCGGGTCACATAGGGCTATATGACAAATGTTCTTATACCTCGCGTGACCGAGGATGGGTCGTGGGAATTCACACCATCAGTGACCAAGGCAACAGAGACCCCCGCTACTTTTTCTCCCTGAAGACAGACCGGGCCCGGCAAGTGACCACCATTAATGCCCACCGCAGCTACCTCCCGGGCCAGTGGGTACACCTAGCCGCTACCTACGATGGGCAGCTGATGAAGCTCTACGTGAATGGTGCCCAGGTGGCCACCTCTGGGGAGCAGGTGGGCGGCATCTTCAGCCCGTTGACCCAGAAGTGTAAAGTGCTCATGCTGGGAGGCAGCACTCTGAATCACAACTACCGTGGCTACATTGAGCGCTTCAGTCTGTGGAAGGTGGCCCGGACTCAGCGGGAGGTCCTGTTGGACATGGAAACCCATGGCCTCCACACTCCTCTACCTCAGCTCCTCCTCCAGGAGAACTGGGACAATGTGAAGCGCACCTGGTCCCCCATGAAGGACGGCCACGTCCCCCAAGTGGAACTCAGCGGTGCCCATGGCTTCCTGCTGGACACGAGTTTGGAGCCTCCCTTGTGCGGGCAGACGTTGTGTGACAACACAGAGGTCATCGCCAGCTACAACCAGCTCCCGCGGTTCCGCCGGCCCAAGGTGGTGCGCTACCGCGTGGTCAACCTCCATGACGACAACCGCGAGAACCCCACGGTGAGCCGCCAGCAAATCGACTTCCAGCACCGGCAGCTGGCCGAGGCCTTCAAGCACTACAACATCTCCTGGGAGCTGGAGGTGCTGGAGGTGAGCAACTCCTCCCTGCGCCACCGCCTCGTCCTGGCCAACTGTGACATCAGCAAGATCGGGGACGAGAGCTGTGACCCCGAGTGCAACCACACGCTGACTGGTCACGACGGCGGGGACTGCCGTCAACTGCGCCACCCTGCCTTCGTGAAGAAGCAGCACAATGGGGTGTGTGACATGGATTGCAATTATGATCGGTTCAGCTTCGATGGCGGAGAGTGCTGTGACCCCGAAATCACGGACGTCACCAAGACTTGCTTCGACCCTGACTCTCCGCACAGGTAAGACCTGCTGGGCAGGCGATGCCCAACTGTGAGCTGACTCGGTCCCCCCGACATTGCATAGGCGAGGTGCCTGAGACTCCTAGGGGTTCTGGAACTTGGTGAATTTTCCAGTTTGCATGGCAGCTTGGTGACTGAGGCTAGGCCCTTACAGTTCTCATGGGGACGGTAGGCGAGGATAGCCATCACAACAGTATTCGCTGAGCCCCTGCCGTGGGCTAAGAGGGAAGACAGCCCTGTCTTCTCAAGGGGCTCAGATTGGAAACTGGGTGATGGGAGCCGCATACAGATAACTGTCATAATGTACATGGTAGAGTGGGGTACAGCGCATTATCCAGGACGTAGTCCCTAGCCACATGGGACTGTTTAAATTAGTTGAGATTAAATAAACTTAAAATCTGGCCTGAGTCACATGAGCCACATTTCAAGTACTCAGCAGCCTCTTGGGCTAGTGGCTACCATGCCTGACAGAGCAATAGGGACCACGCACCCCGGCCGAATGTTCGTTCTGTTGCACTGTGCTGGTGAACCTGGGATCAGCTGGGTCAGACAGCCTGGGTTCAGGATTCAGCCATACTGTTTCCTCACTTGGTGACCCGTTAGAAGCCGTGTCTTCCTCTGTAAAGTAGAAGTAATAAAGCACATGCTTTGTGAAGCTGCTCTGGGGATGGAGAGGTGGCATATAAAGCGTGGTCTCTCTTACGGTGGCTGGCGGGCCATGAGCTCTCAGTAAGCATATTTGATATTACTTGTGTCAGGAAGGTGGCGTGTGCTGTGTTTAGGGAGTGCCAAGGGAGATCAAAGAGGAAAAACTGACTTGCATCTCGAATATCTCCAGAAAAGCTTAGATACAGTTTGGACATCCAAGATTGGGTTGGGGAAGGGAGAAGGGCGCTTCGGGGGACTTCGTGCCCTCCTGAGAAGAGGGTAGAAAGGGAAAGCTTCTGTCTAAGGCTTCGCTTAGCCTCTGCTTGCACTATGAACTCTAACCAGCACCCCCCAAAGAAAAGCCCAGAGGGGAACCCGTGGGTGATCTATATTCAATATGGGCCTAGTTCCAAGCCAGAGAGACAGTCAACATCCACTTTCCTGATCTCTCAGATTCATGCTGAACTTTTCCATTCTGTCCAGCGCACAGGACCCTGGACTTGCTGATAGCTCGGGCACATTTGCCGACCTCTGCAGGTTTTCTGCTGACTCTTCTCTTTATGTCTCTCTCAAAAGAGCAAGGGCCTCCCATGCACAGACAAAATACCTATGTGCAAAGGAATGACGATGCTGGCAGGAGAATGTCGTGCCTGGCAGCAAGCCAGAAAGCACGTCAGCTCAGCCTGCTGGCACCAGGCAGGCCCTGGACTCTCACCTTGGTTCAGAGACATGAGCAGCCTGAGTGGGAAGAAGCCTTGCTGTGTGGCCAGTTCCTTCCAGGTCACAGTGCACTTTCATCTCTGCTCTCATTTGGGCTTTGACAGAATTTGGTAAGGAAGGCAAGGCAGGGGTTAGTATTTGCATTTGACTGACAGAGAGCTAGAGGAGCCCAGCAGATAGAATGACTAGGCCAAGGTCATGGGTCAGGAGAGTCGTTCAGCTAAGTCACAAATGCAAGTCTCTGAAATTAAGGTAGTGTGTGCTCTCCTGAGCTGGACTCCCGGGGGTTACCCATGTGCCCAGGCAGAGTGGGCATGGAGGAGGGCGGAGGGCCACGGATAGCTGGAAGTCATTCACCCATTAATTTGTACATTCGTTTGTTCCTTCTTTCATGCGTGCATTCATTCATACAACAAATGCTTGTTCAGCACCTACCAAGTGCCAGGAGGGTGGGTACCCTTAGCCCTATTGTGCTGAAGGAAATTCGGGATCCAGAATGACATAGGGATTTAGCCAAGGTCACTCAGCTAATAAAATGGAGAGCTTGGATTCGAATCCAAGTCTATTGACTCTAAAGCTCCCACTGAAGGGAGGTATTTTTAAGTCGAAGAAGCAGTAAGAGGCAGAGTTGAAGGGCGGGAGTGGCAGGCAGGGCGCCTTCACTAAAGCCTTGGGAGAAAACTGCTGAGTTGATTGGGTCAGGACCTAGGGCAGCCGGCCTTTGTGGCGGGTGCGCTGTCCTGCTGTGGAGGGGCCGCGGGGGGCCCCAGGTCCCAGATACCTCACCAGCAGCAGACAGACTTGGCAGCCTCCAACGGGCTCCTCTTTTCTAAGTCAGGGGACGGCCTGCCCAGAATGTCTGTGAGCAGCCATGTCCAAGCTCTGTGACATCTCACGCCAGAGCATTTGTTTGCTGGCTGGGAAAGTCAGGAGCCCTGGGTGAGCCCCATCAGGCAATGTGTCATCTCCTGACGGGGCTGGGGGTGACGGCGTCTGGGCTGTGTCAGCTCCCCTGTGCGCAGAGAGAAACCTGGGGACGTTTGCAGAGAAATATTTGCTTTGTGACTTTAAGAAAAGGGAGGGAGGGAAGGAGGGAGGAAGAAAGAAAGAAGGGAGGGAGGAAGGCACCTTTAGTAGAAGCGGTGAAAATTTGATTGACATTATCTAGGGGATTTTTAATAAAGAGCTAAACTTAATTCTCAAGATCCTCTATCTCTTTCTCTCTCCCTCTCCTCTCTCTCTCTTTTTCTGTCTTAATGGGTAAAGACAATAAAGCTATTGAATACTTCTCAGTCTATGGTAAGGCACCAATTTTGTTTTTTCCCCCTGTATATTGCAAACCAATACCTTTGAAATACACAGCAAAAAATGAATCCATATAAAATGAAATACCATAGGAGTGTCAGCGTCAGAGTGTCAGAGTGCTTGAAAAGTTTCTCCATTCCTGTACGCAGTGCCCCGTAGACTAGTAAGTGGGTTCTTGCACTGCCTCCTTTGAGTAGCTCTGATTAAAACTCATCATTCTGACAATTTATGTAGCGATTCCATTGAGTAAAATAAGATTCCCCCGTAATGCAGCTGGGCAGACCAGTGAACTCCGTCAGAGAAGTGTTTCTTTTAACACGTTTAGACTCCAGGAGAGCACCTAATCCGAGGTCAAATGTCAGACCTAGAAACATCCTCAGAGATCATTGGTCCAAACCCCTCATCCCCCATAGAGGGAAACTGAGGCCAAAACTCACACTGTCCATTAGTGGTCAAACTAGGGTTAGGTTGCTCTGGATTTCTGTTTCCTGGTCATCTGCTGTGGCACAGCTGTCCAGCGCTGTCCCAACGACATCCTGGACGGTCACAGGTCCCTGCCCCCTCACGTTCTGTCCTCACTCTTCCCAACTATCCCCGAGAGCTTGGGATTATGGAGTGCTTGAGTGAATGAGTTTGGAAGAGAAGTGCATAATGGCCTTGGGGTTCCATGAACCCCTGTAAAACTATTAGAACCACACTGGCAGCTAGTTTTCCTTATTAAGGGGCCAGAATAAGAACAGCCAGTGAAGGATGTGCACAAAGAGAGGGACTGGACAGTGAGTGGCAAGAGCTGTATATCATAACCACTAACCGCATTTGGCCCGGATGAGAAAATTCTCCGGGGGCCATGACTATAGGGCCATGATGCACGCACTTCAGGTCTCCAGAGGCCTGTCCTGTGGGAAAGGGAACAGAATTCCTCTATATGGTTTCTAAGCCCTGGCTAGGACTGGGGTGCTGTAATTATAGGAGGCCGCTCAGAGCTGAGTAACAGATGATGTTATCCCCCCCCCAGAATGATGCTCCCAGGGGAGCACTTCTCTGCAAGGGAGTGAGCACCCTGTCACCTGAGGCATGCACAGTGAGGATTATGGCAATGCTGTAGAGAGTAGCCTTGATGGTCTTGGGATTGAGCCCAGCACAGCCCAACTCTTTGCTGGTATCTTCCTCCCTTAGTGTTAATGTAACCACATGGTAACATTTGGTTACAGACATTTCTTAGGTATGTGTATCCCTGCCAGGCCCTCTGCTCTTCACTGGGGATGCTGCAATGAATGGGAGGCATCCCTCACCATTAAGGGGCTTTCACTTTGGTGGGGAATCCTATTCACCCATAAGAAGCTCTGATCCATGACACCCAGTTGGACAAGAGCTCTATGGGGGCAGAGATCTGCTCGGATGAGGGGAACAAGGTGGGTTGGCTGGCGGAGGCGTGCTGGAGATGGGCAACACTTTCGGAGGTAGAGATGCAGGCTGCATAGGCCAGGTCCTGGCAGAAAACAGGTGATACATTCAAACAGAACAATTAAGGAGAGTTGAAGGAGGGGCTCATTTGAAGGAGAGGCTTTTACAACAAGGTAGGCAGGGTTTAGGACAGTCGCCAAGGCCAGAGTCAGTAACAGTGGGGAGCCATTTCCATCCTTGGCTTGGAAGGGCAAGAAGAGAGAGTGGTTTGGGAACCTACGAGAGTGACTGTGAGCAGAGGACTCCTGGGCAGCCGTGGTAACTCTCTGTAAAGAGGGGTAGCCAACCGACTGGAGCCCCCAGGCCAGAAGGGAGCCAGGAGAGTAAATGCTATGTTGTCATTCTCTTCTGCTTTCCCGCCTTCTGCTAGAAGTCACAGGGCAAAGGAACCCATAGATGCACCCCAAAGAGGCCAGCCTCCCCAGGGCACAGAGCAGGGCGGAGAGGGACAGGCAATGGATGTGGATGAGCAAACAGCATGTCCAGAACACAGAGAAAGCCCGTGCAGAGGGCACAGGAGAAGCAAGGGGACAGGAGGGGAGGAAGGGCTTGGAGAATGAGGCTTCTGTATGGCTGGCACCCAGACCGTAAGGACGGGAGGGTCTGCTTTATCTCATGGCAGACTAATATCAGGTTAAATCCTTCCTTCCTGCTTCTCTCCCTTTCTTCACTTCCTTCCTCCCTTCTTTCCCTTCTCTTTCCCTCCCCTCCCCTCCTTCCCTTTCCCTTCCCTTCTCTTGTTTCCCTCCCTTTTTTTCTTCTTTTCCTCTCCCAGTAAATATTTGTTGAATGCTCCCTCTGTGCCGGCCCAGACCCTGCCTTTTGGAGCTCACCATCTAGTGGAAAAGACAGACAAGAAAGCA